CCCCTTTCAAAGTTTGTGCAACTAGTCCTTTTTTAAAGTGTTGGTTTTAGCTATGCTGAGTGTCTGATGTATGAATGTTCAGCATCTTAAAATAGCTGGTTAATATGTAGAGCATATGCTGAAGCACATTGTTAATTTTAGAAAAAAAAAAGAAAAAAAAACTCTCCTTGGAGGTTACAGAGATGAAGCAGAGGCTTAGTCTTAAATGTAATGCTTCAGAGTTGATTTTTCTTTTTCACACTTATCTCTGACATTGTACCAAAGGTAATGTCGCAGACAAAAATGCCATTTATTTAAAACCTTCCATTACCCAGAGGACACAAAACATTGAACTTCATAATTTCATGAACCAAGCTCATACATGCAATTTAATACTATGTGTCAGGTTTCAAGATTAAATTAAAGATATGTGGAATTCAGTTTATTCTTTGGGTAGAAATATACCCTGAACACACCAAGAAATGAAAAGAACAAACCTAAAATAACAATGTTTAACATTTAGGGCAGATATTTTAGATTGTAATTTTCCTTATATTTCTCATAGACATAAAGAGTAGCTCACAATGAGTCATATTTTCAAATTGTTTTTCTGTTTAATTTGTTTTTGAATTTCTTGTTTTAACTTAAAATAGACAAATCAAAGTGCGTGCAACTAAAATACATGATAATTAGCTTTACTTTTTAAAAAATACTTATTTGTTTTTATTGGAAAGTCAGATTTACAGAGAGAAGGAGAGACAGTGAGAAAGATCTTCCATCCGCTGATTCACTCCACAAGAGGCTGCAATGGCCAGAGCTGAGTCAATCTGAAGTCAGGAGTCAGGAGCTTCCTCTGGGTCTCTCATGTGAGTTCAGGGTATTTTACTGCTTTCCCAGGCCACAGGCAGCAGCAGAATGTCTTGGAAAGATTGCAGGTAAGTATGGAAGACAATAAAGTATTGAGAGCGACTGTGGAATATAGAATGGGTTAAGTGTGTTGACTGTGAGCTATGGGCACGTGATGCCCCCAGGAAGCTGGAATGGCTGGATGGCATGATCACTTACTGAAAGGAAGATGACACAGGCTCCCTGCTGGGCTGGACCATGAGACTGCTCACAGGCCTATCTCTCTCAGCTTTAGCTCTTCAGGGTCTGACATGAAGAAGAGGGATAGGTAAAAGCTGTGCCCTGTTGAATCTGGCATTAGAGGCCAGGATGATCCCCTTTGCCAGCTGTTACGTCATCTCATAGTAAACCCCTCGCTTGTGTCCTATCCAATAGTTGGGATGTTGAATTTGCTATAGTTGGTTCCACTTTATTTTATTGTTCTTGGCTTGGTGGCTACAAACACCTGGGTGGATTAGGTGTATATTGTTGCCATTTAAACCCACCTGTCATCTTGTATGACATACACCGAGTTACCTATCAGTCTTGCAACTGGGCTGCATTGGACAGTAACTATAGCAACTGACCAAAATGACTTGGTTAGAAAAATAGAATACAGGCCCAGTGTGGTAATCTAGTGGCTAAAGTCCTCGTCCTGCATGCACCGGGAACCCATATGGGCGTCGGTTCTAATCCCAGCAGTCCTGCTTCCCATCCAGCTCCCTGCTTGAGGCCTGGGAAGGCAGTGGAGGACGGCCCAAAGCCTTGGGACCCTGCACTGGCGTGGGAGACCTGGAGGAGTTTCTGGGCTCCTGGCTTCACATCAGCTCAGCTCTGGCTGTTGCGGCCGCTGGGGGAGTGAATCATCAGATGGAAGATATTCCTCTCTGTTTCTTCTCCTCTCTGTATATGTAACTTTCTAATAAAGCTAAAATAAATCTTAAAAAAGAGAAAAAATAGAATTCTTCTGATTTATTGCGAAAAGCACCTGAACCCTTATGAAGTCTGTAGTCCAGGAATAGCATACCAAAACACAGTCATGCTTGGGATATTCTGTGTCGGCAGTCTGGGCTGGTTTTCTACAAACATTGTATTTGTTATTGCATATTTACTTGTGGCTGTACTTATATTGTTATGGCATTTGTGTGCAGTGTCCCACCCTCCTCTCATGGGAAGTGTCCTGGAAAACAGCAGATGTGTAAAGTGTGAAGCTAGGAGTCCTAAAGAGAGAGAGAGTAAGGAGATACCATCAATGGGCTGCCTGACTATTACAGCAGCTGGCAGACCCAAAAGCTGAAATGTCTGCTGAAGTCAGCTGGCCTCAAAACAGATACAATATGCTATGTAACAGCTTGGCTGCCAGCCACTGCTGCCTGTACAGGATGCTGGAGGACCTAAATGGCGATCTCCTTTTGCGAAGTCACCTGTTGCTGCGAAGACGAAATGACATGACCCTCCAGAAGGCTCACCACTGTCATTTGGCCTGTCTGATTTTGAATCTTTTCCTCCTGGACCTGAACTGCAGCCAGGCTTCGTTATCTGAGCATAATGGAAGAAAGACATGGACTCACAGAGGCTTGAACATTAAGACATGGCTGCTGATGAGTGAACATTTTAATTTTGCCCAGAAAATGCCAAGTAGGGAGCAGAGAGCAAATGGGGAAGTTAGCTCTCTATGTGGAAGATTTCGAAGATTATTCTGAAACTTTCACATGATTTACACATCAGAAGAAGGTTATCAATGTTTTTGATCATTACTGTTTAATGTTCACAGTACGATGAATTGTTTGGAATGGATTCCAGTGAAAAGAGTTGGAGTAGGAGAAAGAGACTGCAGAGTAATAACATTGCTTTTAAATGAGATGGTGGCTGGACTAATAACTTTCTCCCTTATTCACTGCCCCGAATCCCTGACCACATGATCTGTGCCTTTCCCTACTGGCTAATTAATTCTACCTTTGTCGATATCTCTCTGTAAAATGACCTGTAAGTTATGTGCTTAGGACCCTGGTTCCTAAGTTCTTCATTTTCTCCTTCTTGGCTTCTCTGGTGCAAATTAAGCATTTTTCCCAATTTCAACTCGGTGATTTTTTTCTCAGTCATTTGTCCCTCTTCCTTGGACATGCTTTGGACTTTTACGTGGTCCCCTCTTACATCCAAATGCACCTGATTTGAAAGGGTCTCAGCTTGCATTTGTATTCCTTGTTGTTGTCTACCCGCGGGTAAAATCCCCCTGATTTCTGTCCGTACCCACTGTGATACTCCTCCGTTTCTTGGATGTGCATCTGTTTCAGGCAACCTTTGAAACAGCTCCAGGAATATGATTCATGTTTCCTCTATATTCAGTCTCTGAATGACCTAGCTTTTAAAAATAATGTTTTCCTTTTTATTGTTGGCAATTAAGTATGAATATCAATGTAACTCTACTTTGAAAAATATGTCTACTGTTCTATATATATTTATAAACAATATAGCTCTTACTTGAATCATTTTGTTTGCTACTATTGCTATTTCTTTGTGTTTTTTTTTTCTAGCTGTTTTATACTTCTTTATCTGTCAGGCGTCCATGTCTAATGAAGCATCTAGTCCCTAAGTTCCTCTCAAGGTTGATAGGCTTCCTAAGAAAGCAAATTTCCAGTGCTCCACCATCATGGGTTTCCTTCTCTTCTTTCTTTCCATATCTGCTTCTGCTCTTCTCCATCTCCATCTCTGTCTTTTCTTAGTTTCCCCGTCTCTACTCTGCTTTATGCATTTGCAAACTATTTGATCAGAAAGAATTATTCATTTTGTAAAAGAAAGTGACATATTGACCCTTCTATTCTTCACAATTTCATTGAAATAGCTAGTACTATCTTTATTCTGCGTTCGATGGCATACCTTCTGATGCTTGCATGAAAGTCAGTTGGTAGAAGTGATGGAGAAGGTTACTCTAGGACATGGTGGCATGTGTCATTGTCGGGTGAGTATACCACATTTGAGGAAGAAAATAACATAGGTAGATCCAAGCTTTGTGGTCTCATGACAGCAAAAACTGTCACAATTTTGATGCTCTATGTAAGGAAAATTATGCAATTTTTTTGAAGTACAAAACTATACACTAGACTTGGAGAAGCCATGCACAGCCAAGGGTCCTCAAAATGTATTTCCTCACAAAGCATTTTTGAGAATTCAGCTTATCCATTTGGAAGCAGTCATGGGTGATTGCCTAGCTTGTTGAAGTTGGGACCCATTTCAGCTGGAGTTGCCTTTAGGCTCAGTATCTGCATGTCCTGCCAGGGAGTTGGGAACTTAATGCAGGAAACCTGGGCAGATACAGGCAGATGTCTGAGTGCTGCCTCTGACACTGGGCGGACACCCCGCCATCTCCTGTGCCTCTTAGTTCTTTTCTAAATTTTACAATCCTATAGCTAGAAGGAATCCAGTTGTAGAATGTGTAAATGCTAAAGGAATCTCAGCTTATTGTCAATTTGCATATGTTGACATTTTGCATTAAAGATGATCCAATTTTACATAAAAATAGAGAGATTCTATTGAGATGAGGATTCAGAAATGCCAGCATGTTATGCCTGCTGGAACTTTCCTTGCTGTTGATGTCTTGGAGTCCTGCTGATATGTCTCATGCTTTGATTGTCTGTTATCAATTAATGTTGATGTCTTTGGTCTCCTATTTGGGACAGGTTTGGCAGTCAACATATAATTAAATAGATTCTTTTCATATGCAAATGCCAACATGATTACATCAGGTTATTATATTTATTCTGGAAATAAGTGCATAACTTTAAAAGTTAGAGACGTTAGAAGATTTTAAAATCCCTTTTTCTGAGTAAATGCCTTTTCAGTGTTAGTATACCACTTGGTAGTAGTCGATCTTCAGATCTTTTAGTTTATTCTCCCTTGATGAAGTTCGGTGTTATAATGAAAGAGAATGCAAACAAACCTAACTATGCTAATATGGGTCTGAAGACGCACATATGAAACTGTTCATCAGCAAAAGGGAAAACACCATCCTGTGATGTTTGGTGTACCAAAATTAAATCCAAGTTTTGGTTTAAAGCAGAGATTAAAAAGGGTTAGAAAGAAGCAAAACTATTTCGGATGTTAGTTAATCTTGAGCTGTGATTCTCTTCGTCCCTCAGTTGTTTGTGCTTCTGTTTTCTACTGGCAAGAGGGAGCCTCGCTGGCGGCATGATGGACTTGTGGAAATTCCCAAAGGATACCCATTGTCAGACTGGAGGGGAGAGAGTGAGGAGCAGAGCGATCTTGGGGAGTGGGAAGGGAGACTCCCATAAAACAGCAACAAATAAAAGGGAACCCACGTCTGTTGTCATTTCCTGTTAATGTGAACCATGCTGTTTGGAGAATGAACAAAGTCACTAAAACAAATTAAATACACAAATTACTTTTAAAGAAACAACAATGTGTTCATCTCTATTAAGTCAAGTGTTTATTAGTAGACTGTTTAAAAAATAAACAAAAATTAAATGAACTTCTTTTTTATGGTAGTTAATTTTCCACAATGAAAGAAAATGCTTTTCCTTTTATTGACATTACCAATATTTTTAATGTGTGGGTTTCAATTTTTTTATTGGAAAGGCAGATTTACAGAGTAGAAGAGACAGTAAAAAAGATCATCCATTCACTGGTTCACTTCCCAGATGGCTGCAACAGCCGGAGCTGAGCTGATCTGATTCGAAGCCAGGAACTTCTTCCAGGTCTCCCTCACCGGCATAGGGACCTAAGGCTTTGGGTCGTCCTTTACTGCTTTCCCAGGCCACAAGCTGGGAGCTGGGTGGGAAGCAGAATGGCAGGGACATGAACTGGTGCCCAATAAGGAATCCTAGCCCTTGCAAGCCAAGGATTTAGCCACTGGACATTGCACCAGAGTCTTAATTCATGAGTTCTACATAGAAAATTGTTAAAGAATTTTTCCCCATATGAAAAAGATGGGAACTGCAACAGAAGAATGAACAGTAAGAATGAGCAACAAAAAGGAATTTTAAATGGTTAACAAACATGAAATAATATGTGGACTTACTAGTTTTTACATCTAAGCCACTAATACTAAAAAAGAACTGCTTTATAATTTTCACATTGACAGACTAGAGGAAGCAAGAAATATAAAAAAAAAAAATGGTGATGCCATGGTGTGGATGCACATTGAGTGTTCCTCAAGGCTTCACATGCTGAAATGCAACCCTCTTCATTAGCCCTTGAGAACACTCAGAGGTGGAGCACTTGGGAAGTGGTTAGGATAGACAAGATCACTGATGTGGAAGCCAAACAGCTGAAGCCTGATGGGTTTATGAGAGGGAAAAAGCACAGAGATGTGCACACTCCTCCCCTCTGGCTCTGTGATTCCCGGCACCACTTCAGGACTCAGCCTTCCAGGAAAGGCCATCAGTGCACAAGGCCTCTACAGAACCTGTGCCTCAGACAATAGGATATCCCGGTGCTCTCAAAACCAAATAGGAGCCAAGATGAGGGAGTTCAATTTGCCAGCTCTAGGTGAACTCAAACATCAGGAATACAAGTAAGAGTAAGGAATTCGGACATGTTAGATAAAAAGAAAATGACTGGATCAGAGGAAGGGACAGAGAATGGGTGAGTTGTTCTTAGTCTACAAATATCAGATCTGAAGGAGATAACTGAGTTTATCAAAGACAGTCAACGGACTGAAGATATAGGTTAGAAATGCATTTCATGTAGTGAAAAAAATCAGGGAATTGAACTGAGAGAGCTGGGACAGAGCAAAGGGGTCATGGGGGACAGGTAAGTGAATGAATTATGAAATGAGGAAGTTATATTATGATTGGAAAAGTTAAAGCTGAAGTGGAGAGAAAACCATGAGACACAGTATCTTCAGTGAGTGAAGGGTACTCATTCAGCGATTGTAGCAATGGAGTAAGCGTAGTTTAAATTAGCTAGTATGAAGCTTAAATACAGTCATTTTCTTCCACAGTGGAGTGCGGAAACATGGAAGATGAAACGCCATTGTTTTGATCAAGAGGTATTTTGGTTGCAAGAGAACAGATGGTCTACACTTAGTTAGCAGGGATTTTTTTAGGGTTAGGAAATAGAAAAAACATAGTGAAATAATTGAGGCCAGAGGAATAGTTCATAATAGAAAGTAAATTCCAATATCCACAGGGTTTGGGGAGAAAAAGCTCTAAAAGAACTGTAGTTGGAAGAAAAATTACAGGTAATTGCTGGGGAGATGATTCAGGTAAAAAGTCTACAGGGCCATGCTGAGGAGTGAACAACAAAGAGATATGCCTTATTTAGAGCATGTTGGTGGTCTTTTCATTGTCTCTTAGTGATGCACTCCCAGACAAGATGCAGTGCGACAAAATAGAAATTACACATATTTTGAAAATAACTCATTAATTTTTCCCCCAAATAATTATTAATGAGAAAGGGTTAATAATCTCCATTTCTCTGCCTGATAATAACCATAATCACTCCAGCCCTAGAAGGTGGCATGGATAAAATGGCTATGCACCAAGCTGTCATTAGCTGTGCCATCTGATGCATTAGAAGTCGCCGGAGGAGGATCAGAGTCTCGTTTTCCCCTCAGAACTCACGACATTAGCTCTGTAGCATGATCGTGAAGAGCATAGTTCTGACTTCATGGCCTTGGGCAAATAACTGAATCTCTCTGCTTCAGCATCCATATTTATGCAATGGGGTAATTGTAATACTTTACTCATTAGTGTGTTGTGAGAAACCAGTGAGTATTACATGCAAAACATGGACATTAATGTATGCAAACTGTTAACAGAGCGATTAGCATATTGAAAGAACTATTGAAGTGGTTCGTTTGAGAACATTTAATTAACTACTAAGTTTATATGTTATTTCATTTGAAAAAGCAATAGCCTTTTTTTTTTTTATTACAGAGAACAATACTGTCAACAGTGCAATGACTGGGAGATAATGAGTCCTTACCATTTATTATTTCATTGTGCTGAATGAAATCCTGAAAACTGAATAAAGCTACACTTAAAATATATTTTAGGCAATATAAAATAGGTTCAAGTATATGAATAGAAAACATTGTGAACATAGGTTGGGATAAAGTTGGATAATGTGAGAAGGAGATAGAACAGAGAATAGTATAGAGTGAACTGAGCTTCTGTAACATGCAGAGCCCTGTGTGAGAAGACAGCCTTGAGAGGTTTGCCAACGAGCCGGTTCTCTCCTTGCACATGGAACTCTCAACTCTTCCCCACTTTATTTGTAGAATTCTGGGTGAGGACTGCTCTCAGATGGGAGTAAACTGAAAACAACTTTTTATAAATTAATTTTTTTTTTATGATTCCATTTTACAGACTCTGGGATTTCCCTTCTCTCCCCGCCCCACTGCAATTCCCCTCATATTATTTTAATCACAGTGTTCCCTGACCTGCTATTATGGAAGAGGCTCATGGATGCTGAAGAGTTGGTGAGGTGTACTCAGATTGTACTCAGTCTTGGTGGAGCCGAGAGTCTTTTGGGACAGAAGCACTAGCCATCCAGCAAAGAGCAGTGCAGTTTAACCGGCTTGTTCAAAGCAGACACAGCGATTTCCCATGCTAGCTGAGTGTTATGAGGTAGCCCAGTCTGTCAAGATTCAATTGATACTTTTCATTAGTCTCTGCTGATTGGAGATGTTTTTGAAAACGTTGGTGTGTATGTACCATGCATGATGTCTAATTTTCTGTGTCAGCCTGTCTGGGTTCCAGGGTGCCTAGACATTTGGTCAGACATTATTCTGGATGTGTTTGTGGGGGTGACTCAAGGCGAGAGCAATATTTAAACCTGCCGAACTTAGAGCAGACTGTTCCCAATTAGGGTGGCCCTTCTCTCATCCCTAAAGACAACTAAGTCACTGGGGTTAACTCCCCAGCATGAGAGCTACCAGAGAATTCTTCTTGCCCAACTGCGTTATGCTGGGTCGCTTTTTCCTCAACTCTGATTTTACTTGAGCGGAAGTTTTTGAGCTTGTTGGCTATTGGATTAGATCCGTACGCTCCTCTCCGCCCTCTCTGGGCTTCGCAGACTGTCCAGGATCCCTTCATTCTCCCAAGTCTCCTGCTTGCCCACCACGGCTGCTGGACTTGACCTACACAGTCACGGGAAGAAATTCTCTATAGTAAATGTCTTCCTTTTGATCCGTAATCCTGCTGTTCCATTTTTCTAGTGAATCCCATTATGTCACATTTGTTGTTAGGAAATAGAGTGATTGACAAAGTGGCCAAGTTCCAAGCCCTTTCTGGTTTGAGCACTAGCAGATAATTACAGGAATTAAAAAGTAGTTTAAATGTGTTCAAAGTGTCTGAAAAACGAATGTGCTGGTATTAATTTTCTTTTTTACTGTGTGTGCTTTTGAGAAGGAGATAATGCTTTTGATATAATTACATTTTTTCTTGATCAATAGTGACATTTCAAAGTGAGATGTCATATATTCCATGCTATACATTTTTCCCGTTATATATTTAATGCTATTAACTTAGCTGTAATTTCCTCAGATTTGGACTTGACAGTCACATTCTAAACCTTATGTTGACAGATGAATTGTCTATTCTAATGGAAGTTCAGATCTAATGCAATTTTAATATTTTATTTATATTTTAAAATGAATAGCAGTAGGAAACCTAAGAGGTAAAACAGCTTCCGATTTGTGTAAAAACAATAATTTTACAGTTCAAATCTCGACCGTTGATATTAGCCTCTTGGGCAACCTGAGGTAGTTCACTTCTCTTTTCCTGAACTTACAATGTTTTCCTGTTTGTTGAGGATTCTTTTCCCGCTCAAGAAGGCTGACTTTTTCTTCATGTAATTTTTCTGCCTCTTGCTGTCATTAGACATTGGTCGTTCCCTGGGGACCATGTGTGTTGAGGTGCCCTGTTTGCTCAGGAGGGTTGAGGTTCTGTAAGGCAACCTTCCCCGGAACTCTCCTTTTTACCCGCAGTCCTAGCGGAGCCCAGCATACACGGAGGTGTTGGAGAGGCTTGCCTGGACTCAACTGAACAGCAACGTGCCTTTCAGGCCCAGTGCTCTGTGCGGAAATGATTGACACTCCAGCTTTCTCATTTCTTCTGCCTCTCCAGAGGCTGAGCTTCTTCAGACTGCACAGCAATCTCGTGTGTTCCTCCTCACCCTTTTATGTTTTGATTATCTTTTTTGGGCACAACCTGGAGAGTCAGAATATAATTAACTAGATGCTTTTCATATGTAAATATCACAGTGATTATAATACCAAACTT